TCACACAATGACAAAATAGCCTACCAACACATTTCTTAGAATATATCCCCATTGTGAAATGACTCATGTCTGTGTGAGATTATCACCCAACACATAAAATAAATATTCATGAATTAAAACTGATATAAATTAATGATTTTAAGAAAAATAGGGGATAAATTTTTCTTGAGACAACTCTCTCATGTACAGAAAAATTCCAAATAATGAATGTGGAACATAGTTTCTTACTCCTTAAGTATGGGCTGTGGATAATGACTTTCTTCCAAAGAATACAGTATGGAAAGGAGAGTAACTTTACGGTGGAGAAACGTTTAAAATACTATATCATCTAAGTGATCAAGGTTAACATCAATAATGAGAAGTCATGTTGGTAATATGTTACCTTGATATGATGTGATGAAACAGCACTTTATGTTTGTGGTCTTTCTCCCCAAAACACACAAACTCCAGTATAATCATAGGGAAAACATTAGACAAATCTCAATTGAGGAATATTCTATAAAATACCTAGCCAGTACTCCTCAAAATTGTCAAGATCATCAACAACAAGGAAATTCTGAGGAACTGTTACAGCCAAGAGGAGCTTAAGGAGACATGATGCTAAATGTAATGTGATATCCTGGAACATTAAAAGACACTAGGCGGAAGGATCGCCGGAGCCCAGCAGGTCGAGGCTGCGGTGGCCGGGAGCGGCCACTGCACTCCAGTCTGGGGGGCAGAGTGAGAATCCAACTCAAAAAAAAAAAAAAAAAGACACTAGGTAAAAATAAGGAAATATGAATAAAGTACAGATTTTAGTTAATAATAATATTTCAATATTGGTTCATCAGTTAGGCATGGTGGTTCACAATCAATACTTTGGGAGGCTGAGACAGGACGATTGCTTGAGCCTAGAAGTTCAAGACAAGCCTGGGCAACAAAGCAAGACGTCTCTACAAAAAATTAAAAAATTAGCTAGGCTTGATGGTACATACCTTTCAGCTACTTGGGAAGCTGAGGTGGGAGAATCACTTGAACCCAGGAGTTTGAGGCTGCAGTGATTGTGCCACTGTACTCCAGCCTGAGCTACAGAGCCACACCCCAATTCAATGTGTGTGTGTGTGTGTGTGTGTGTGTGTGTGTGTGTGTGTGTGTGTGTGTTTTCATTAGTTGTTACAGAAGACACGTTATACTAATATGAGAGGTTAAGATAGGGAAAACGTGGTATGGGGTATATGGGTATTCAAAGTTTTCTTGTAAATCTAAAACTTCTAAAATAAAAATGTGGCTGGGTACAGCGTTTCACGCCTATAATCCTAGCACTTTGGGAGACTGCGGTGGGAGGATTGCTTGAGCCCAGGAGTTTGAGACCAGCCAGGAGTTTGAGGCTAGCAACATAGCAAGAATTCATCTCTACAAAAAAATTTAAAAATTAGCTGGACACGTGTCTGTAGTCCCAGCTACTTGGGAGGCTGAAGTGGGAGGATTGCCTAAGCCTGAAAGGTCGAGGCTACAGTGAGCCATGATTGTGCCACTGCACTCCAACCTGGGCAACAGAGTAAAGTCTGACTTAAAATAAATAAATGAAATTAAAAGTGTATTTTTGAAAAATTAAGTATAAATAGAGACAATCTCAGATTAACAAAAATCCTATAGAATTTATTGCTGCAGACTCATAAGAAATACTAAAGGAAGCTCTTTAGGCTTAAAACAAGTGATACCAGACTGTAATTTGGAATCCATATAAAAAAAATAGTGCAAATAAAGGTAATTATGTGGATAATTATAAAAGACATTCTAGTTACATATTTCTTCTCTTAATTTATTTAAGAAGCAAGTGCATAAAGCAAAGTATAACTCATTATATTTGGGGAACTATAACATGTAAAAATGCAATATACTTGGCAGTGACAGCACAAAGAAAGCAGGCTGAAACAAAGCTTATTTACAATAAGAAACACCAGATGGTATCTCAAATCCACAAGAAGAAATGGAAAGAACCACGAATGGTAAATCAAAAGGTCAATATAGCAAACACTGAGAAAATATTTCATCTTCTTTCAGCTTTTTGGCCCCTTGCTCACACCATTTTAAAAAATTAACTCAAAATGGATCATAAATCTAAAGGTAAGAGCTAAAACAAGAAATCTCTTAAAAAGAAAACAAAGGAGAAAACCTTCATGATATTGGGTTAGGCAATGGTTTCTTAGACATGACACCAAAAGCATAAACACAAAAGAAAAAAATAGATAAACTGGACTTCATAAAAATTAAAAACATTTGTGCTGCAATCAATACCATCAAGAAAGTAAAAGAATATTCACAGAATGGGAGAAAATATTTGCAAATCATATAAGATGGTCTCTGACTTATGATGGCTGGCTTGACTTATAATTTTTTGACTTTATGATGGTGCAAAAGCAGCATACATTCAGTAGAAATCATACTTGGAGTACCCCTACAACTATTCTGTTTTTCACTTTCAGTACAGTATTCAGCAAATTATCAGCAAATAAACTTTGTGTTAGATGACTTTGCCCAAATGTAGGCTAATGTAAGTGTTTTGAACACATGAAAGTAGGCTAAGTTATGATGTTTAGTAGGTTAGGAATATTAAATGCATTTTTGACTTATGATATTTTCAACTTACAATGGGTAAGTTACAAAGATAAATAGCCCAACTGTAAACCGAATAAAGAACTTGAATAGACATGTCTCCAAAAAAAGACAGACAAATGGTCATTATATGACATGAAAAGATGCTCAGCGTCATTAGGGAAATTCAATAAAAACCACAATGAGATATACCACTTCATAACAACTAGGATGGCCACTAAACACCAAAATTAAAAAAACTGAAAATAACAAGTGTTGACAAAAATGTACAGAACTTGGGACCTTTGTACATTGTTGGTGGGAATCTAAAACAGTGCAACCACTTTGCCAAAATTTGACACTTTCTCTAGAATGGTAAACATAGAATTAGTATATATAACCCACAATTCCACTTTTAGGTATATGTCCAAGAGAAAAGAAAACACACATCCACACAAAAACTTGCACAATGGCCTGGTGCAGTGGCTCAAGTCTGTACTTTCAGCACTTTGGGTGGCCAAGGCCAGAGAATTGCCTAAGCTCAGGGGTGCAAGACCAGCCTGGGCAACATGGTGAGACATCATCTCTATGATAAATCAAAAAATAAGCCGGGTGTGGTAGCGTGTGCCTGTAGTTCCAGCTACTTGGAACCCAGCAGGTTGAGGCTGTGGTAGCTGTGAGCATGCCACTGCACTCCAGTCTGGGAGACAGAGTGAGACTCCAACTCAAAAAATAAAAAATTAAAAAAATAAAAACTTGCACAAGAATGTTCATAGCAGCGTTATTCATGATAGCTAAAAAAAGTGGAAATCCAAATGTCCACCATCTGATGAATGAATAAAAAATGTGATCTATCCATACAATGGAGTTTTACTCAGTCACAAAGAGAAAGTACTGATAGATGCTACAATGTGAACCTTGGAAATATTATACCAAGTTGAATAAGCCAGTCAGGAAAGACCACATATTGTATGACCCTTTTTATATGAAATGTCCAGAATAGGCAAATCCACAGAGACAGAAAGTCACCTAGTGGTCATCAGTGGTCACCTAGGGCTGGAGGGTATGGCGGGGGGGGGGTATGGGCATGGTGAGGTGGGGAATGGAGAAGGATGGGTATAGGCTTTCTTTCTGGGGTGATGAAAATGTTCTAAAATTATTGTGCTGATGGTTACACAACTCTGTGAATATACTACAAGCCATTGAACTGTACACTTTAAATGAGTGACTATTATGGTATGCAAATTATATCCCAAGTTGTTTAGAAAAAGTTAACAAGAAAACTAAAATATACTGAGTAGTGAATGCCAGGCTTTTAAAAATCAATTTTAAGCTTTGCTTGTAATCTAATAACTATCAACCAAAGGGTAAAAGAAGTACCATAGACATTCTTCATAAAGAGAGTGCACAGGTTTTCACCCTAACTTAGTTACCTGCACTCTATACTGAAACTGGCTTTTTGCAGAAAGTGTTGATGCTTCATCAAAGAAATGATGTGGATGCTATGACAAAAACTGAGTCAAATGTACCAATCCTGTGACTTTTTGGCCATTGCAGGCAGCTTTGTGGCCACATACACTGATGAGGACACTTTTAGGCCCATTCAAGACAATGACACTAATCATTGTATGAATGGCTTCAGAGGTTGACAAAGCATCATTATAGAGAGTCCTATCTACTCACGACAACAAGGGCTGTGACCTCTCCTCTACAGATGTGGAAACAGTCCTGCCTATTTAAAGGCTTGTTTAGGACTAGAAACTGGCGGCATCAAACCTGATGTCAGGCCTTCCAATGAGGAGCCCAGTGCTCTTCTCCTTCATTCTCCAAAAAAAGTCCTCTTTGCATCACACCTTATGTGCATTTCAGCTATGGAAATTCAGCTATCTGTGCTACCTGTTCCTAGGCAGGGAGTTCAAGTGACTCCACCCACCACTTCACACAAGGACCCAGGCCTGGAGTGAGCCCAGGACAGAGGTCTCTCCAGCAGGCTGTGCACCAGGTGAGAGTTAAGTGTTTAAAGAGCTCTCCCACTCTCTCCTTTACATAAAACATTATATTTTAGCACATATACTTTTTCATATCAGGTACATTACTGTATGTATTATACATTTTTTATGGGATTGTAGACCCAAACTTTGAATATTGTACTTGGGTCACTTAAGGAATTCTTGAGTCTTATTTGGATGAAAAACATTTCATAAATTTTTATCTTATGATCTGCTCTAGAACCTAGCCCAGCAGTAGCTGGAGTGTGGATCCCCAGGTGCCACTTTCTGCTTTGATGGTCCACAACTATTTTGATTTTTATGGTATAGGCTTTTCTAGATAAACAACCAAGGTGGCTTGGATGTTGGTGCACACTGACTCAAGCTCTTGTCGACTGGAGACAGACATCAGAAGTGGCATGTTTTGACCTCTCCTACCTCCTCTACTTGCAGGGTTTCTTTTTCCATTTTTTCAAGTAGCTCCTCTCGTAGCAAGATCTCCTTGTCCAGATTGATGTACATTTCCATTGCTTGGTGAAGCTTACTCTGAAATATAACAACACAGTAAGTCTTGAGCTAAGATGACCTCTAGGACTGCGGGCAGGAGAAATAGCTCTTTGTTAAGAGAAAAGCAAGGCTATCCTGGAACTTCAAACTGTCCTCACAGTTGCCCAGATTTTCAGAATCCTGGTGTATGGAAACTTGCAGGGGAAAAGAGGGCCTCGGGGTCTTGTCCTTAGTTGGAATGGTAGAGAAGTCAGATACACCAGGACACAAATCCTGCCTCACTGTTCACCAAGGGAGACTTTGGGCAGGCCCCAGGACCTCTCTAAACTCAGTCCAGTTACCTTGTAGGATTGTAGAGAGGCTTGTAGAGTGCTGAACATAGTTGCTGGCCCATGGAAAATACCAACAAATAGCTGCCATTGACTGATGTGGACAGATAGGAAGAAATACTCCCCATGAGGTGGGTGCTCCTGCTATCCCCACTTCCAGGTGAGGGAATTGACCATTAAAGGTGAAACAATTTCCCCAGGGTCACAGAGTCCATACCTGAGCCCAGGCAGTGAGATCCTACAGCCCACAGCGCCACCGCTGCTTCCATTGCCTAATGAGGCTGGGCCTGATGGTGAGAGAGGAGTCCTGTGGGAGCTGCCTCGTAGATTCCCAGTGCATCATCTGCCCTTTGCTGGCTCCTGAAGGCCCCTGCTTCTTAGATTGGCCCCTTTGGACCACTCTTTCCTGGGGGAAAGAGTCACCCAGAGGAGTTGGGGTATGCTCTGCTGGGCTGAGCAGTGAGCCAGGGGAAGGAGCCAGTGATTTCAGGGGGTTCACTTGAGAAACTCTGAGAATCCACCCTCATTGCACCAGGTGTTGGTCAGCGAGACAACCTAGTTTCCGCCAGTAGGAGGGCGGCTCACTACCCAGGTAGAGGTGAGGAGGCAGATAATTGCAAGAAGTGTAATACTGCAATGGTGCCAAGCTGTGAGAGTGCTGGGACAGTGGTTAAAGAAGGGTTTCCTGCAGAAGGTATACTGGAAAGGAAGCTCTGGAAGGTTGAGTCAGTATGTCTAGGTGGAGAAGAGAAGAACATTCCAGGCTAAGGCAACCCAGGAGAGGAGGGTCTAACAGGAGCTGGGAGAGTTGGTGAGAGAGCTTTGGTGCCACAGTCAAAGGGAAGGTGGAGGGAGGATGGTGCGGGGGGTGTTGCCAAGACTTAGACTTGGCAGAAGAACCTGGGGCCACCTGCAGGGGAATCTTCGGGTACCTGGGGCCATTCCTCTCCCCACTTCTCTTGTCTCCAGCCCTCACTACTTGAAGGCTCCATTTCTTGTTCCATGGACCTGAATGAAAACGGCTCTTCTTAGGAAAGCAAAAGTGAATAACAGCCCAGATTGAAGGGGTTGTCTGTGGGCCATGGACAGGCTGGCAGGATTTCCTAGCAAACCAGCAATCCGGGTGAGAGGAAAGAAGAGCAGAGAGAAGACCTTCACCCAACCACTTAGAGCAGCAGGAAAGGATGGCGTCTCATGGCAGCAAGGCCATCCTGGCTCTGCCGGGGCAGGGTCTTCACAACGGTGTGATGAGAGCTGAATTTGTAATGCTGATTCAAAATGTCAGTTTTGCAAAGGCAGGCATTCGCTTTCTATCGTTGTGAAACAAATTATCACAAACTTTTGTGCCTTAAAACAACACTTACTCACTATCTCAGTTTGTAAAGCTCAGAAATCTGGGCATAGTGTGACTGGATTCTCTGCCTGTGGTCCCACCGGGCTGCAATCAAGGTGTCTGCCAGGGATGTGGTTCTTGTCTGGAGCTTGGGGTCCTCTCCCAAGCTCACTTGTTGGCGGGATGCATTTCCTTAAAGCTGTAGATCCTAGATCCCTGTTTTCTTTCCGGCTGCCAGTAGGAGGTCACTCTCAGCTCCCAGAGGCCATTCTTGAATCCCTTTCACATGGCCCTCATCTTCAAATCCACAATGGAGAATTTTTCCTCCAGCAATTTCTCTTCATGCTTCCCACTTCTGACTTCTTCCAAAGGAACTCTGTACTTTTGAAGGATTCATGCGATTAAGTCAGGCCCACCTGGGGAGTCTCTCCATTTGGAGGTCAACTGTGCCATAGACTATAACCTAATTATGGAAGACAACAGAACCCAACAATAGAGCCCATCTTCTTTCAGTCCCGGCTGGGCATATACAGGGTGTAGACACCAGGGTGGGGGGGGGGGGTCCTGGGGACATCTTAGCATTCTACCTACCACAAGACATGGATCACCCGTTTACAGTCAAGCGTGACTCATCCCAGCCGTAGTCACATGCTTATATCTTACCAGACTCTACCAGGCAGGGCTTGAGGGCATAAAGCTGGAGAAAAAGGAGCCTCTTGACTCAAGCTCACTCATGAAACTTACAGAAGAGACTGTGTCTGTCATGTGCTGTCTAAATGCTGTACCCTTAGCACTTAGCACTGAACCTGCCATACTGTGGGTATCAGTACTTTTGGGCATAGAGGAAAAATATTCTGCACATCTTTAACAAGGTCTTCATAGCTAATCAGGAATTTGATATTTAGGAATTTGATATTTATTTATCTATTATTTATTGATACATTCTGGTTGCTGGGAGAATGGCTGTCTGATATTTTCATTGAAATGGTCCCTCCTGTCACCCCCACCACCACCACACATACACCTAACTGCCAGCAGTTCATTCGACAGTGTTGACTGAGCACCCACTTTGGCCAGGCACTGTCCTCACTGCTGAGGAAACAGCACAGACTAGACAGGGATCCATCCTGGTGGCAAGACATGAAAACTTGCCTCCAAGAGGTAAAGAATTTTGCCCAGATGAAGCACCTCCCCAAGCCAGGCCCACATTCAAGCCCAGGTGAGGCCTGACTCTGCAACTCACAGTTGTTCTGCCTCTGTTTCCCCAGGAAACCTGAGAATGAGACACGAAATGGCTGCCATGCTGCCCACTGTGGCTTGTGGCTAATGCTTGGATATTACAAGCAATCTACACTGTTTAGACTCATCCTAAGGGGCTCAGGCTCTTACAAACTGGGAGTTTCGTTTTATAAACCAGTAGCTCCACTTCCAAAACTCTTGACTTTTCCTCACAAGACCAGACAGGCCCTGTGCTACTTAATTGATTCTGCAGGATAAGATTAAGGTCCAATGTGATCTAACCACGTGCTACCAACTCTCCAGGCAACAAAGGCCTGGAAGTCACGTGAATTGGCTTCATCTTGAAATAGCAGTGAGCAGAGAAGCAAAACGCTGATGAGGTATGGTCTAAGTAGATGATCTATCAGATGTTTACAATACATGGATTTTAGAATGCCAGCATGATGTTTTCTACATACTTCATGCCAGGAGAAGTCACTTGGGTGCGGCACACACTAGACTATGAGTCTCAGCACTGTTACCAACTAGTTGCTTGAATTTGGCAAATACTCTACATCTTTGAGCCTCAGTTTTTTCATTTGTAAGAGGAAAATGTTGAGCAAGCATAAACCTGGTCTGAACAATTCACACTTTTAAACTGTGTGGGCCAAATGAAGCCCACCTCTGAGCCACCCAAGCCCATGGCCACTGCTGCCACCTGGGCACTGTGCCAGGGGTTGGCACACTTTTTCTACAAAGGACCAGACAGAAAACACTTTAAGCAGTGCAAGCCCAGAGGCGAAATTGTGAGTATTATGTACTTATATTAACGCGAGAAAAAATTCCTACAAATGATTTATTGATTAAATTCAAAATATAATGAGCACAATATTTTGGAATTCAGGTCTACTATGAGAAAAATAAAATTTCTGAGGAGGAGAAACAAATTTTGCTTCATTTGGCTTCAAAGTTAGTGTTTTCTAACATCAAATCAGTTGCAAACATTCTTCTGTAAAATGCTTCTTAGCTCACAGACTAGTGGGTGGGACTGAGTGGCCTGCAGTTTGCCGACCACTGCATTGGATGGTCACTAATAGGGTGACCAGATGGTCTGGTCTGTTGGGGATGGGCCCTGTTCAGGCCCATAGTCCCTGTTTAATTAATAATAGTGCTGCTTTTCTTTCCCCAAAGTGTTCTGTTTGGATGATAAATTATGTAGTAGTTTTCTGATTCATAGCAAAGACTGTTTTCCCTTACAGGGTTTTAAGCAGGGAAGTGCTCATTATGTGCTCAAATTAAAAAGGGCACAAATATGGTTAGTTCTCAAAACTCACCATGCATAAAAATCACTTGGAGAATTAAAAACAACAAAACAAAACAGGATGCATGGCTCTCACCTCCTAATTCAATTAGTCAGGGTGGGACTAGGACATCCGTATATTTTTTAAACATGAAAAAGCTTCCTAGGTGGTTCTTATGCACAGCTAGGGTTGTGGGAGCATCCAAGAGATTTTAGGAGACATGGCTTTGTCGAGCCAAGAGAAAGCAGCAGGACAGTGAGGGACACCCAAGCGTTGTGTGAAACTGTATAAGGCACAGCAACCTCCCGGTGGTCAGAAGGCAGGTGCAGGAAGCCTGGGGTGTCTAGGCATCAGGGATGGCCTTACTTTGTAGGCGTTGAGGACCTGCAGGGTGTCTCCAGATGCCAGTTTCAGCAGGATCAGTTCTTGATTCCTTGCTTCAATTGTCTCTAAAAACTGAGCATTCTCTATCTTCAGTTGCTGAAAATCAACATCATGGAGGGCCTCGCCTACCTCTTCCTTCTACAACTCGGAAAGAAGAAAAGATGGTTCTTTTACTTGTGATGTGGAATGTGTGTGACTCACATCTTACAACTCTTGGTAAGACTTTGAGGGTCAGTCATCATTCAGTCATTCTACAAACACTTATTGGGCATCTGCTTGGTGCCAGTCATGGGTTCTAGGCACTGGGAATACAGAATTAAAAGAAGGTTCCCTGGTCTCAAGGAGTGCATATGAGGTTTCACAGACAGGCTGCAGGTACTGACCCAACAATGGGCAATGGGGTGGGCGGGGGCAGAGGGTGCACAGAAGCCCCTGAGTCAGGCCAGGGAGGATGAAGGGCTGAGCCAGGAACTGACATTCTGAGTACCAGGAACTTATGACCTGCAGGCAGCTCCACTGGGTCACTGCTCTTCCTTATACTGAGCTCAAATCTCCTTCCCTGCCACCTCCACCTGCAGCCCTAGCACCGACTTTTGTGCCCTCGCAGTTGGGGTGTTCTCTCCTATAGGAGTGGTGCCTAAACAGAGTTGTGAAGGAAGAGTAAGAACCAGGACATTTAAAGGTTGTTTCTTTCTTTTTAGTGTTTTAATTAAACAAAAATTTTTTTTGGAGCAGGGTCTCACTGTTGCCAAGGTTAGATTACAGTGACACAGTATGGTTCACCACAGCCTCAAATTCCTAGACTCAAGCAATCCTCCACCTCAGCCTCCCGAGTAGCTGGGACTACAGGCACATGCCACCACACCCATATGATTAAAAAAAATTTTTTTCGTAGAGATGAGGTCTCACTATATCGCCTAGGCTGGTCTTGAACTCTTGGGCTCAAGAGATCCTCCTGCCTCAGCCTCCAAAATGCTGGGACTACAGATGTGAACCACTGTGTCCAGCTAAAAATTGCTTCTAAAGTGGAAAGCCCAGGAAAAGCAGCCCATAAATTCCCCTTCTTTGATCTTATGATGTTTCTGCACTGCAGGCTCATTCATGCGTCAGGTTTGCTCCTTGACCCGGTCCACTGTACATGCCCTGCCAGGGATCTGCCACCTTACACTTGTGGCAGACAGAGGCCCGACTCAGGGACTACTGCTGTTCTCCGTTCCCATGCTCCACTCTCCATGCTGTACAACCTCCCAAGATGTACCTTCCGCCGCCTCCCCAAAACAACTCAACAACTTCCTTAAGCCCAAATACGACCCATCCTCCAGCTCCAATGCTCTCAACCTGTTTTCCACACTTGAAAGTACTTCCTCTCTCCGCTGAACCTCTGGAACCTTTAGCTCCATGGTCCCTATTACTGTAGCTCCGTCACACATGCACGTCTTTTCTCAAGACACTGCGATGTACTAGTCTGTGAGCTCGTGAGGGCGGGTCTCGTGTCTGTCACCTCTGTGCAGCAGTGGCGTTTAGGTGAAAGGGCATCCATCTACTCCCCATCTCAAGCTTAAACCCCTCTTCAAGATGCCTGAGCATGAAGAAACTGATGTTCTGAGTACCAGGAACTGACGACCCACAGGCGGCTCCACTGGGTCAACACTCTTCCTTATACTGAGCTCAAATCTCCTTCTCTGCCACCACCACCTGCAGCCCTAGCACTGAATTTCATACCCTCCCGGTTGGGGTGTTCTCTCTTCCCGCATAGCCCTGAGTATTCAGAGACAGAGGTCATGGCTCTCCTGGGTCTTCTCTCCTTGGGCCCATTAGTCCCAGGCCCTCCGATGAGGCTTCTCTTCCCCTTGCCATCTGACTCACTCACTCTTCTATGTGAACTTCAGTTGACACATTCTTTCACGTGTGGAGCACACCTTGGGATGGATACTGCAGGTGGAGACTGCTCATACAGAGTAGAGAGAGGCTTCCCGGCCTTGGTCTGAGCGCTGTGTTTCTCCAGTGTAGCCTGAGCCATAGAACTGCCACCAGCTGAGCTGACTCTATGAGGTACTCTAGGGCTAAGCCAGCCTGTACTTGTGCACTGTTGTTTTGTGCAGATATTTGGGAGGATCAAAGTGGAGGATATTTTATTTGTCCTTAGTCACTCTGTGTTGTTAAATTTGTCCCAGCTTGTGGACATCTTTTCTGGATCTCAAGTCAATCAAGCAATAGTTCCTTGACAGATCAATTCTCCTGTCCAATTCTGTGATCTTATCAGTGGCCCCTTTGATGCACATACCATCAGCACCCAAACTCAAGTTTATAATAAAAATACCAAGCTGGAAAAGGATAGAGCCACATATCACACTCTAGAGGCCCTGAACCACGTCTGCCTTTCTGCCTTTCATCAGGAGCTGTTAGAGTCAAAGTCTGGTCAAGGACTCGCCACAGCACAGCCTAACTGTCATCCAGGCCACATTCTCCAAAAGGGCCAACAAGTTTGTCTTGAGGGTCTTTTAAATTCAAGCCAACCCTGTCCACAGAAAATCCCTGACTTTTAGCTCAGTAACTGTATGTTTCCTATTGCTGCTGTAACAAATGACCACAAATGTATTGGCTTAAAGTAACGCAAAATTTATTCTCTTACAGTTCTGGAGGTCAGAAGTCTGAAATGGGCTGGGGGCTGAAATTAGGACATTGGTGGGGCTTCTAGAGGCTCAGGGGAGGATCTGTTTCCTTGCCACTTCCAGCTGCTAGAGACCGCCTGCATTCCTTGATTCATGGCCTGTTCCTCTATAGTGCAAGCTCCTCCACCTGACTTCAGCTTCCATACCCTCCATCAGTGTACCCTCCCGCTTCCCTCTCCTGAAGAAGGTTATACTAAGGCCCACCCAGGGAATCTGAGATCATCCCCTTGTCTCAAGATCCTTAAGTTAATCATCTCTGCAAAATCCTTTTGCCATGTAAGTTACTATATTCATAGATTCCAGGGATTAGGACATGGACATTTTGGGGAGGCTATGATTCAGCCTACCATAGCAAGCTTAAAAAAAAAAAGCAAAGAGCCACATACCTGCCTCAATTGTAAAAGTATTTTTTTCCTCTGAACTTTGAGAGAAACATTTTTCAAACGTAATTTATCCTTCATATTATCCTAAAAAATAAAGGCATATTTTAATCCACATAATCCATTCCTCTACTTTTTCCCTATTGGTTTTAATCACTTACTTCAGGTATTTTTACTTCTACAAAGGTTGGTGCTACTATAACATTCCATGACCAAGAAGCAGAGAAAAGTGGGTTTGTGTCACACAAATTTTATATTGCTTTAAAATTCAAAATTATTTGGGTGTATGCTACCATAGGCGCTTTGCCTGACAAAATGACCTTATTGTTTTTTCTTGTGGTAGTTTACGTAGTTTATATTAATCATAACATGTTAGAGTCCAAAGCTTGACATGTTATAAAATATATGGAAATGGAGTACCCCCAAATTCTTTTCCTTCCCATAACAGCCCAAAGTACACCTGCTTACCATACAACTAAGAGTTTGCGATTTAATTGTCCCCCTCCACACAGCCACCTGACCAGACAGGCTGAACCAGCCCAGGTTCACACCTCTCTCAAGAAAGTATGCCAGATCTAAGCTCGGCTGCCTGCCCACTCACCCTCCGTCGATTTGTGTCTTCGATGTACTTCATCACTTTCTGAGTGGCCAAAATACTCCCTTTCTTCTTGGATATGGTTGTTAGAATATCTTTTTCAAACTCATGCACTGCTTTCTCAACCTCAGCCCATCGGATCTCAGCTTCCTCAATGATGGCCTGAGGGAGTCAGCATAAAGAGAGATGAGTTTCCAAGAATCCTCAAGGTTTATCCTCTCAGGAAACCTAAGTTCCCAGGCCTCCTCGTGTCCCAATACAGAAAGTTTCTTCTTGCCTTAGAAAGATACCTTAAGATACAAACTAGACTATATAAATGTTATTGTTAAAAAGCATTTCTTCCTTGGGCACAGTGGCTCACGCCTATCATCCCAACATTTTGGGAGGCCGAAGTGGGAGGGTGGAGTTCAAGACTAGCCAGAGCAACATTGTGAGACCTCGTCCTTACAAAAATAAAAAAAATAAAATAAAATTAACTATTTTATTTTTGCATGGTGGCATGTAACTGTAGTCCCGGTTACTTCAGAGGCTGAGGAGGAAGGATGGCCTGAGCCCAGGAGGTCAAGGCTGTGGTGAGCCATGATTATGCCACTGCACTCCAGCCTGGGTGACAGTGATATCCCAACTCAAAAAAAAAAAAAAAAAAAAAAAAAAAGCATCCCTTGAAAATTAGTGTCTGTAAAATGGAGCAAACAAATAAAAAATAGCACATCAGATATCTGGGTAGTATTTCCATATTTTAAATCTTATTTATTCATTACAAATTATATTTAAAATATCTGGAAGGATATATACCAAAACATGAACTACAGTTACATCTTGAGAGATGGATTAATGGGGAGATAATTTTTATATACTTTTTATATACTTCAGTTACTTTAGAAGCGGTATTATATTTCCAAGCCAGAGTATTTAGGAGCAGGAGGAAAGTAAAAATAAAAAAAGATGTTATAAAGCTGAGCATGGTGGCATCTGTTTGTAGTCCCAACTACTCAGGAAGCTGAGGCAGGAGGATTGCTTGAGGCCAGGAGTCTGAGGCTGTAGTGCACGATAATCACAACCGTAACTAGAAACTGTATTCCAGAGTGGGCAATATAGCAAGATCTTGTATCTTAAAAAAAAAAGGTGTTATAAAATAAATATATGAGCCAGGTGTGGTGGCTCACGCCTGTAATCCTAGCACTTTGGGAGGCTGAGGCAAGAGGATGGCCTGACCCCAGGAGTTCCAGACCAGTCCGGGCAACATAATGAGACTTCGTCTCTACAAAAAATAAAAAAATGAGCCATGCACTTGTAGTTTCAACTACTCGGGAAGCTAAGGCAAAAAGGTTGCCTGAGCCAGAAAGGTTACGGCTGTGGTGTTCCGTGATCCTAACACTGCACTCCAGCCCGGGCAACAGAGTGAGACTCTGACTCAAAAATAATAAAATAAAATAAATATATTGACAAAAATACAATTTTAAAAATAGCATACTTACAAACTAAATTCATATATGCATAGAAAATTATCTCTAGAAGGCAATAAATGCAAGTCATCAGTAATTACCTCTGGTTGGTAACATTGTGAATGTTTTCAAATGATCTTTTAGCTTAACTGTATTTTTCAGTGTTCTATAACATAGACTTGAAATAAGAACACACACATGCACGCACACACACAGATACACACAATTTCAAAAAGTAAAACGGGAAAGTATCTGTAGTCACACAGCAAATCATCCTAGTTCAGGCTTTTCCCTGGGTACCAAAAGGCAAAAGCATCTTCACTGGCTGACCTCAGGCTCCCCCTTTTCCCATCCCCAGTCAGCTCCATGAGGTGGAACATCAATCCTCTTGAAATACTGCTTTTTACACGTCACTCTCCTGCTCAGTTATTCTCCGTGGGGTTCAGCTTTCAAAGGCACCAAAGATAAACTCCTCTGCCTGGCTTTCAAGTTCTCATTGCTCTCCTCAACTCAACTTCCTAATACAGCTCCCCAAACACCTTCTTCTCTAATCACATTGGTGTCTTCAATGTCATGAGCTTGCCATGCTCGTGTCCACCTCCATGTCCTTACTCACCTCATTCTCCTTACCTGGGGTGCCCTTTTTGCCCTATGCCTTAAACAAACACCATCATTCTTCAGGATCATGCCAAGCCCCATGTTAAGCCCCACCTCCTCAATCAAGTATTTTTGAGCACTCTTGCCCACACTGATCTTCCTCTCTCTGCATTCTTTTTTTTTTTTTTTTTTTTTTGAGTTGGAGTCTCACTCAGTCACCCAGACTGGAGTGCAGTGGCTACTCCTGGCAACCCCAGTCTCGACCTGCTGGGCTCTGGCGATCCTTCTGCCTCAGCCTTCCAGGTAGCTGGAACTACAGGCGCACGCTACCACGCCTGGCTAATTTTTGATTTACTGTAAAGATGAGGTCTCGCCAAGTTGCCCAGGTAGGTCTCGAATCCGCGGGCTCAGGCAATCCACTCACCTCAGCCTCCCAAAGGTGCGGGATTACAGGCTGAGCCACCGAGCCCGGCTTGCATACTTTTTTTTTTTCTTTGAAATGAGGTCTCACTTTGCTACCCAGGCTGGAGTGCTGTGGCACAATCATGGCTCACTGGAGCCTCAGACTCCAGGGCCCAAGCAACCCTCCTACCTTAGCCTCCTGAATAGCTTGAACTACAGGCATGCACTCCCATGCCTGCCTAATTTAAAAATTTTTTTGTAGAGACGAGGTTGCCCAGGCTGGCCTTGAACTCCTGGTCTCAAGTGATCCTTCCACCTTGGCCTCTAAAAGTGCTGAAATTACAGGTGTGAGCCACTGCATCTAGCCTCTCTCTGCACTTGATGTTTTTATATCACACAATCTAGCAGGTTAGGACAATGCTGCCATATCCTGAGCTCCTTTAACTTGTAAGACTTCAGCAATGCATATTTGGAAAGAGAGAGGAGAGAGGTGGGAGAGTAGGAGGGAGGTAGAGGGGGATGGAGGGATCGGTTTATATGATACAGACACAGACGGTTCCATCAATGGCAGACACGAGTCCACTGATACATCCCTCGAGGGAGTGAGTGTAATTCTGTGTGTGTCCACATTTAGAAAGAGAAAAATATAAAAATTTAGAAATAGAACAGAAGAATCTATTTTTCATACAAGCATGGTTCTCAAATGCAAGCTAACAACTTTATCCCGTGGGCAACTGAATTAACAGTAATGTTTCTTTTCTGGAGGAAACTGACTATTGGACTCATAAGGTAGCAGTCCTCAGCTTTCTTGGCATCAGGGACCAGTTTCATGGAAGACAATTTTTCCACAGACTTGGGGTGTGGGGTGAGGGGGGGCAATGGTTTTGGGATGATTCATGTGCATAACACTTATTGTGTATTTATTTCTATTATTATTACATTGCAATATGTAGTGAAATAATTATACAACTCACCATTTAAAAAAAAAAGCATGGACATAAGCAGTAAATAAAATAATGGGTGGGTCACATGCTGACAAAAATTAGTGTCAGATTCTGACTTAAAGCCTGCCACCAGGTGCAGCCGTACAACTGAGGTAAATCAGCTCAGGTGCCACCCACTGATAGGCTTTTGGTATGTCTGCAAGCAATTGATTTATTATGGTCTCTGTGCAGTCAAACCTCACTGCTAATGTTAATCTGTATTTGCAGCCACTCCCCAGTGCTAACATTGCTGCCTCAGCTCCACATCAGATCATCAGGCATTAGATTCTCATAAGGAGCATGCAACCTAGATCCTGTGCATGTGCAATTCACAACAGGGTTCACACTCCTATGAGAATCTAATGTGGCTGCTGATCTAACAGGAAGCAGAGGTCAGTCAGTAATGTGAGCGATGGGGAGTGACTGTAAACACAGATGAAACTTCACTCACTCTCCTGCCATTCACCTCCTGCTGTGTGGCTCAGTTCCTGCTGTGCAGTACTGGTCCGTGGCCTGGGGGCTGGGGACCCCTGCACTAAGGGATAGTATGTTGGTCTCTTGCAGGACACAGCCTGTGGTCATGCATGCTGTATAAAATGCTGCCTGAGAGATTTTTTCACCTCATTCAGTGACTTAAGCGTCAAATCCCTTGCATTACTGAGGAATTGTTATAAATTTTTAAGGGCATTTAGGTTTATTGTGGTTGTGTTTTCTAAAATAATCCAGATCTTAAAGACATATGCTGAATTATCTATGGACAGATGACATGTCTAGGACTCACTTCATAATAACCCAGTGAGATGAAGGGAATGTTGGTTGGGACACTGATGACTGAAGAGTGGCCATATGTTGATGATTGCTGCATCTGACTGTTGAATACACTGAAGATTGTTGTGCTAGCCTGTCTACACTGGGGTATTTTGAAATTTTCCATTAAAAAAAAAGGTTTTAAAATATGTTGTCCTCCTAAACAACTCCTTCAAATCAGGTCCTTGATTTGTCTCTTCCTGCCCATGTTTCTTCCAAAGCACCAGCAATTACATGGACACACTCTATCGGTACTTCTTGATGGGGCGGAAGTGGGGAGCCCAGGTAGGATGGCCTACGCTGAGAGAGACATGTACCTCATGATGCTGCAGATCCCGTTCAGCATTTGCCCTCATGTGCCTTATCTCATCCTTCGAGTCTTCCAGCTCCTTTTGTACCAGCTCGAGCTTTTGATCCACAGTGAGGCCTAACCCATGGTCCACACCTGTGCGGGCTCTGGTTTTACGCCTAGCTCGTAACTGCAGCACAAAAAAAAACAAGGCCACTGTCAAAGAGAAATCGGTAATAAGGCAGCCTTGGGTAGGCATCAAAATGATCCCTCAGACCTGCTAGAAGTTTCCTTGAATGACAGGGAGAAAAACTCATGGCGGAAGGATGCTAGATATTAGGCCTGAGATGATGTTTATTTCTCAAGTCATCCTGAGGCTCTGCACTAAAGACGTCAAAGGCTGATGTATGACAATGAACTGAAAATAACTAGTGTTAAAAGATCTTGAGGGTAGAAAGACTGTGAACCTGCTGTAGACTAGAATTCAAATCAAAGGCAGGGAAGCCCAGAGCTCAATGCTTCCCAAACTGAACATAGAAGAGAAATTGCATCTGGGGCACAGTATTCAGCAAAACAGATAAATAAACACAAATCTTGGATTTTCTATGCATTTAAGGCCAAGGTCACAAGTGTGTAGTACAGAGAATGTACAGGCCCCCAAAGAACACGTCTATACAGATAAGCCCTTTGAGACAAGGGCCCATGCCAGGTCGGCTTCCCTCCTCTAGGATGCTGGCTGGACCCTGTAAACAGTTGAGCCCTCAACTTAAAAGAACTCTTTCAATAAACTAAGATATACTGGGAGAGTCAGTCCACTATTAATTGAACCCAATTCTCTTCACATTCACTTGAAGGAGAAGCCATAAAGGGGGAAGGAAAAATCAAAAGTAGAACAGGGAGAAAGTCACATGGCTACTTAGCCCAAGAGGGCACACCAAAGGCAGATACACAAATACCACTTGCATTTACGAGAACAAATAATAAAATAATTTTCTAATTCTCCATTGTGTACCTGTGAGTATTCTGCTGCCGACATCTTAATTTCTAATGATCGTGGAAGGTGGTGATCCCCAGGTTCCAGTTTAGCGTAATATTTCTCAAACATTTCTGTCTCAGTTTTGAGAGCAGAGTTGCCATAGCTGCAAGATAGAGGGTACTTGAGTAACTTCTAGTAATAAGAGTTTAAATTTCAAATAACTAGTATTTAATACTCTTAAGCCATCTGTGACTTTCTGCAAGACACCTAGCCTCTTGATACCTTAATTGTCTCATCTATAAATTGGGAATAATAACAGCACCTACCTTTTAGGGTTTCAGGATTACAAAGGCACAGTGCCTGACACATAGTACTAATTAAGTATTTGCCATTTTTTACTAGCATGTTTAATAAACAACAAAATTCAGAGCACTAGAATTACATTAAAAATTTTTGTTACAGATTTTATCTTCAAGTATCATCCAACCCATTTGTGAAGTTCCTGCTAAATACTACATTCTTGAAATTACGTACACCTATAGTCTTCAGATTTTTCCTTTGGCTTATTTTTCTCAGCTGTCTTACTTCTGACAACCTATGGACTAAAGTAATAAACTAGTAGTGTATTATAAACTGTGAAAAACTTTGAAAAGATTTTTTTAAACTAGAAATGACAAACCTAGTTTTCCTGTGTATGTCAAGATTTTAACCTTTTAACTTCTTAACTTCTTGTGTGTGTGTGTATAATACACATGCATGTATGTAAATATGAGAGAGAATGGCTTTGTCTTCTTATATTATTGAGTTAATTTTTGTTGGACTGAAATTTAAGACTAGTGGAAAAGGTTGAATGAAAAGCATACTATATCAAAGCGCCTTTTTTCAGCATATATCACATCCTGGGTGTAGTCTGTGGAGTCACACCTGAGTCTGAATCGCTGCCCTACCACTGACTAGCTGTGCGAACTTAGAGAGGAGTGACTTGACCTCTGTCTTTATTTCTTTACTCACCTCCTATGGCTGCTGTGCCATTATGTAAGGATATATATAAATAAATAACGTATGGTACATAACAAGCACTCAAAAACGGTAGCTATTAGTAATATCCCCGTTCTGACCCAAACTCCTATAGATGCAGAGAAGTAACATGTTTTCAGCTGCCAGAGCCAGGATATTCTGTGCAACACCAATAAGTTGTGCAACTAACCTTAACTACATCATGGAATCTTGGTATCAACTTACTTGCTATAGTATATATACAATAAACTGCAAAAAATGCAGAATACTGGACCAGACATCTCCATGCTGACACCCTGGTTCAGACACAAGGTGCCTCACACTAAAGTCATCTCAATAAGCATCCTTTCCATTCTGCTGCCAGATTAATTTTATCATAGAATCTTAGCATCGCAAAGGGGCTTAGAAGTCCCTTGGTTCAACCTGACGCGGCAGAAGAGGGGGGCGGCTAAGCACAACGTCTGGCAGCAGACAGCCCCGCCAGGCTGAGGCTCTAGCTTCCCAATTACTCTCTCTGGGCTTCCCACCCCCGGCCCCACCTGCCTCGCCCCGCCTCCCTGTTCTGGCTCCATCAGCGGCTTGTTAGCCCAGTAGCCGTGGACACGCAGGGGTAGACGGGCAGAGTCAAGTTTCCCCCGTGTTCAACGCGGGCTTGGATCTCCTCCATGCCGGGCCCGGGGTCCAAGGCCGCCCGACGCGAGGCCCTACGCTGAGGACGCGCGGCCCGCTGGAGCCCGACGGCCGGTACCTGAGCTCCTCCACCAGCTGGCACAGCTGGATAACCGGCAGTTCGTTCTCCTCCCCCGTCTGGGATTCGGAGCCCGCACTCTCGGATTCATCATCACTCATCACTGTGCCGAAGCGGCCCCTGCCGATGCCAAGCGTGCCTAGGAGCGCCCGGTGCCTGCGGCCACGCGACGCTAGCGGCGCGTTGCCGGGACGACCGACCGCGAGCGGGGGGAAGGGGCGGGGCTTCCGGCGGCCCCGCCCAGCGCTTCCGCTTCCCCAGCGCCGTCTCGCGCCGGCCAGAGCTAGGCTGCTGGCTTGGACCCGACACCTGAGCGCGTCGCTTTCACTTCTTTCACAATGGCTCTTCAAGTGGTCGCGATAATAGCCGCTACTGTTTGCTCAGTGCCTCCTATATACTGGGCACCGTGTTAAGCCTGGAAAATCCTTGCGACAACCTTGTAATAGTGTCTATTATTCTCTTCATTCTCCGAATGAGGAAACTAGGGCCCAGGAAGTTATGACAATTTATGAGTGTCTCCTTCCCTACCTCACTGTGCGACCCTGCCTACTTGGTGCTTCATACGTGCGAACTGCAGTTTCTTTTGGATATCAGCATCCTGACTCGCTGGAAGAAAAAAAACTGTGGCTGATTTAGAAAGGTAATACATTCAAGAAACATCACTAAACAGGCACTGAATAGATGCTATGTCCTCGGTTTCCTGGGGGTAATGTATGGAAAAGACCATCCTGGCTCTCAAGAAACTCCCAGTTAAGTGAGAAAAACAGCCCGTAAAAGTGACTGCAAGGGGAAAGGAGGGGTGATGATAGTAACAACATCCTGCCTCACACTGTGCCTCATAGACAACTACTCATTAAATCTTCAGATCAGTCTCATGAAAAGGGTATTACTGTCTTCATATTACAGATCAGGAAACTGAGGAACTGTGTAACTTAGACTCCAATCCACATAGAAATATAATCAAACTGTAGCAGAACCCAAAGCCCATGTTTTTGACTTCTACACTGGTCTGTGACATGGCAAACATCAGGAAGGCAACAGGGGAGCTTTCTGACTCTTCCCTATTGGGATGGAAGAGGACGGATGGAAGGATGGGCAGACTTCTCTTAGCATGGGTACTGGATGTTGTTAGAAAACAAGCTGTGATAAACTATGTGGGTGTGGGTCAGCCCCCTTCCCCTGCAAGCGACATGCCTTAGCATCAACAGGCAGTCACAAGACTCTGAAGATCTTTTGTTTTGCTGCTTTAGAGTACATGAGTTTGGGGTCAGAATAGAATTATTCCAGATGATAGCAAAGAGGCTAAGCCCTACCATCACCTTCTTTTCTCTGCCACTAGGCTTCTTTGGATACTAGGGGTAATGTAGACCACATTTAGAAATACTTAATACATTCATATATCAGGTGGCCCAAATGGATACCAGCCCTAGGTGACATAAATGAGTGCCAGCTCCAGGTGAACCCAGGGCAAGAAAGGGCTTGGCAGCAAGTCCAGACTGTGATACAAAAAAAAAACCTGTGGCTGATTTAGAAAGGGTATACATTCAAGAAACATCACTAAACAGGCACTGAATATATGCTATGTCCTCAGTATCCCAGGGTAAAGTATGAAAAAGACCATTCTGGCTGTCAGGGAACTCCTAGTTAAGTGAGGAAAACAGCCCCTAAAAGTGACTGCAAGGGGAAAGGAGGGGTGATGATAGTAACAACACCTTGCCTCACACTGTGCCTCATAGACAACAGCCTTGCCAACTGGGACATATGACATCAACAGATTCTATGGCATTGGGGGTGTCAGTGGTAGAAAAAGATGCAGTGGGAAGCTTAAAGCAAGACCCAGTGGGAGAATCACAACAGAAGACCCAGGATTCTGGAACAAGGCCATGCACACTACAGCAGAGAATTATATGCCTTTTGAGAAACTACTCCTGGCCCGTTACTACACCTGGGTAGAGACAAAACGTTTGACACGTGGGGCTCCAAGTGACTATTCATCCAGTCCTGCCCATTACTAGCTGGGCTCTGTTGTACCCACTGAGTCATTAAGTAGTTTCAGTCCATTGTAAAATGGAAAAGATTCATCCAGGATCAAGCCCCTTCAGGACCAGAGAGCATGAGTAAGCTATATGAGCAGGTAGTCCAGACCAATGTGTCATCCACCACACTTGTCCCAGTACTCCTTCCCCAGCTCACACTATACCCCATGGAGGGAGTGGGAGGAAAGGAGGTCATGACCACCTGAAAAGGAGGAAAAAGCTTGAACTTGGTTTACAGATGAGGTTGTCCAGGAATGAGGGTACAAGTCAAAAATGTACAGTGGCTGTATTATAACCATTTCATGGGAGATTGTGAAAGACAGTTGAGGGGGAAAATCTTCCCAATGGGCAGAACTAGAAATGGTATGGAGGGAAAAGTGGTCCCAGGGTTGTTATCTAATTGGCAATTTTGACTCAAACACTCTCCATCAGGCTGGCTGAAACTTTGTTAGCACTGTGCTTTGATCTGAGATACTTGCTCCCTGATCCTCCCTCCTTCCTCTCCAAAGTGTCAGACTTTCATGGCCATCTGAAGGCTCTCTTTATCTACTCCAGCTTCCTCTCCTGTGTTCATTTCAGACATTTTCCCCAAGAAATGAAACTCTTTACCTTGACTTGGAGGACTAAAACCAACACAAAGAATAGCTTTCACTTTTTAAGATATTATTAGAATTTAGTAAGATATTGCATGTATGAACTAAAATTTGCACTTATCAAATAAAAATATTACACCTTGCTGTTCACACTGCCTTACATTTTTAAAATTGTGGTTTTAAAAACCACACAACATAAAAATGTACCATCTTAACCACTTCTAAGTGTACAGTGCAGTAGTGTTAAGTACTTGTATGTTCAAATTGTTGTGCAACCAATCCCCAGAACCTTTTCATCTCACAAAATTGAAACTCAATATTCATTATACAGCAACTCAATACCCACATTCTCCTCCCCCTAGCCCCTGGCAACCATGGTTCTACTTTCTATCTCTATGAAATTGACTATTCTAGGTACGTTATGCTCATGGGATTATATACTGTTTGTCTTTCTGTAACTGGCTTATTTTACTTAGTATAATGCCTTCAAGGTTCATCCATGTTGTAGCATGTATCAGAATTCCCTCCCTTTTTAACGCTAAATAGCATTCCATTGTATGTATATACCACATGTTGTTTATCATTCATCCATCAATGGGGACTTGAATTGCTTCCATCACTGCCTAAAATTTTAAACACACATTAAAATTCCAAATGGTCACCTAGAGTAACAAAACTGAAATAACTCAAGTTCCCTTTTCTTAATCTTTACAATCACTGTGCTATCATTGCTTATTTTGAATCAATTCTTCAAATGCAAGAATATGTTGTACCACAGGGGCTGGAAATAAGAACTTCATTCAAAGCAAGCTCAAACTTTTCCAAACCTATGAGAACTTACTCTCAAAATAAATGAATGTGGCTGAGTCTGTGTGTATCAGGGGATGGCTGTATAGCAAGGAGTTCTCAGAATTGGAATAGGCCAATTTGGAGCTAAGTTATATATCATTAATACTCAACAGTAGCTGTAACAGTTGTTCAGGACTTAGACCCACAAACGAATTTGGAGGGAGGAGAATATTGTTGCTTTCATTGTTTAGTATTGCTAGCACATAGTGATAATAATTTTTCAAAAAACTTTTAGGTGGTTTTATTATTATTTTGACACTCTCTACAGACAATGCACTCCTGAATTATTTCCTACACCATGGATAGAACTCTCCCACTGGTTCTCTCACTGGTTCATCATTGAGAGGTGGCAATTTTTTGAAGAGAGTTGTCCTAGCACTCTGGAATTTCCCTGTAAAGGAATGCACAGGAACGGTGACTGCATTCTGTAAGTCAAATGATGGGTCTCCAGAGTGCCACTTGATGAGATTACTGAACCTCTGGAGTTCGGGAGGCAAGGAACTGGTATCTGCCTCATGCCTCAAGAAGTCTAAAGAAGAGGCTGGAGTGATCAGCACATTTAAGCAGGTGGCAGGTAACAAGGGTTACCAGGGAGTGAGTTGTTCTGGCATCAAAGTGGAAAAAGGCAAATGGTTTTCACAGGACAAATGTCCTTATAGAAAGAGACTGGAGGAATATCATGAAATGCAGAAGATGAAGAGGAGTCTTAAGAAAAAAAAAAAAACATTGTGGACCCTGTCAGGGAATGTCAGTAGGAGAATCTTTAGGGAATCCACACTAGCCCTCCAAGAGAGGGAGAAGCTTTGGGACACACTCTGGTCACAGGAGCATAACCCTGAAACCATTTCTGTCATGTGAGACCTCTTCTGTCCCTAACTTCTCCCATTTTTCTCTCTGAGTCCACCCTGGAGAATCTAATGACAATAGAGTGGAGAAGAGGAAGAGAGAAGAAAAAACAAGATGGAAAAAGGAGACTGAGGCAGACCTGAGATGGCTATCTCATCTGGTTGTTAATACTGAAAACTTCCATATCCCAGGGAAAGCTCCAGAGACATGAATCTGAAGAAGGAAAGAAACATAGATGCTGGCTAAAACCTAAAACAGTAGAGTCAGTCACAGTGCAACAACATATACTGTTCTAGTCAATATTAAGGAAGAATTAAGGGAGAGGGTATTTCAAACATTGGCATACAAAAAATAAAAGTAATAATAGCCAACATCTGGGTGCTTTGTACTCTAATCCTGTAAGGCAGGTACTACTAGTATCCTCACTTGTATGGAGGAGGAAGCTAAAGTCAGAAAGACAATGTAAATTACTCAAGGTCAAACAGCAGGAGACATGCAGAGCTAGAGATCAAAACCCGCACCTTTAATCATTACTCATTTCTTCTCATCTTGGGTCTTCCTTTCCATCCAAAGCCATTCCCACTAAGGTCTTAGAAGAATTCACTGAGGTTGCATTTAACCAGGTACCAGTCATGGAGTATGCTGTGGGTCATTGTTCTCATAGATGAGAGACTTGACTATGCAAACGTGCAAGATGTAGATGTAAGATGCTTAGTACAGATGTAGATATTTTCCTTTGTGGTGCCCTCTCCTTGATGCTGCTCGTCTTCAGAAGTAAGGGAGGAGGGGTAGACCAAAAAAATAATTTAGAAATGATGGCAGAAATATTTCCACCTTTG